TATATATATTTGTATTCAGGATTGTGGGAAACGGTATTTCGATCTCTCTGTCTGTACACACAAACTGAAAGATTGACAATAAAGTTGACTTAAGTATATGCAGCAGCTCGTCTGGTCTTCAACCTTCCAAAATGTTCCCACACCACGCCGCTCCTCCGCTCCCTTCACTGGCTTCCGGTAACTGCTAGAATCCACTTCAAGACACTGGTACTTGCGTACCATGCTGCGAATGGATCTGGCCCTTCCTACATCCAGGACATGGTTAAACCGTACACCCCAGCACGTGCACTCCGCTCTGCATCAGCCAAACAGCTCGCCGCACCCGCACTGCGAGGGGGACCCAAGTTCCCATCAGCAAAAACACGTGGGTTTGCTATCCTGGCTCCAAAATAGTGGAATGAGCTCCCCATTGAAATCAGGACAGCAGATAGCTTGCACATCTTCCGGCGCAGACTGAAAACTCATCTCTTTCGACTCCACTTCGAGCGATAGAATTACTAACAAAGCACTCATATACTAATAAAGGGCTAGCTTATCTAAAGCCAGTTGAGTAGCACTTGAAATGTTTGGCTCTATGAAACCTGATGCACTTATATGATTCTGTTTTCTTCAAGGTTGTATCTTCCCGGTCGAATGTACTTATTGTAAGTCGCTTTGGATAAAAGCGCCAGCTAAATGCAATGTAATGTAATGTAATATACGTACATAGCTAGTTATGTCAATGAAAATCTTAGGTCCATGTTATGTTACTTAGTACTTCTACTCCACAACACCTTAGAGGTGAATTTTATACTTTTACTACACTGCAATTTTTTAATACCCTTAGTTGCCGATTTGGATTAATAATGTGAAATATAATCAACAATTAAATAAGACTTTATGATCAACTTAAATGAGACTTTAGTTACACCTTGGGTAAATTCACAAATTAACCTGCAGTATATTAAGTGATTAAAACTAGCTGCAAATTTACCAGCTTTGATAACACTTTAATGCATCAATATTTAAAATCAAAACATATAATATGTGTTATTCTGAAATGGACCATTTTGCATAATAAGTACAATAAGACAGAAGTGAAGAAGGTACTTTTATCGTGAGTATTTCAATACTTTATACTGCCAGAGCTACTTTTAAGATTCTGATTATTTATGTATAAACCAATTAGTAAAATATGTAAAATATTATGATTTGTTCAGCTATCCAAAACATATATAATAATAATCAGTAATGTATTTTTGTTCATTCTAAAAGTAATAAATAGTTCTACCCAAATGATAATGATTATACAGCTATTAAGTGAATGTGACACACACACACACACACACGCACACACCTCCTCTTCCGCCCACTCATTACGTTCATGCTTTTATTTTGAAATTTGCATAGCTGGTTTTGCCCACAGAGGAAGCAAAGCAGATGGACCGGTTGAACCTTCTTTACAGAGGAAACCTAAATACACCTGTAACACCTGAGCTCTGTACTACGAATCCAGTTCAACATACCCTGGACAGGGGCGCCGCCAGGGATTTAAAGCTGTCACATTGGTTACTTACATTTTTTTTTCTTAATGTTCTAAAATTGTTTGGGCCCCTGTCAGTCACGGGCCCTTAGAATCGTCCTAACTTTTCACCCTCTTACAGCGCCCTGCCCTGACCCTGGATATGTTTGAGTTACCCGGTTTACCTAATCCAAAACAAACGCGCTCTCGCTAAGCGGTCCTACGGCGCTGGTTATCAACTCGGTAACTCAAGCCAGGGTTTCTCTGTCCGGCTGAGTGCGCGTTCACATGAAAGGGGCGGGGTTAGCAACATTCGACCAATCACAAACATGGACAAGCGTACTGACAGCGTAGCGTCATACTTCCTGAATGAAAAGTCAACTATAATTAGGCAAATATGAACATTTTAAACTTTAACCATGACTTAAACACTTTATCCAGGATAAAAGCCACATAGTTGCACCTGCAATGTGAATACAGCTGGTAAAAGAAAAACTGTTTGAATGCGTACATTAACAGGTTTATGATATCCCTGCCTCGTCTAAGACACAAGTGGATCTGACTTTAATTACATTTGACTCGAGTGTTTCGTCAACTTAAAGGTGGGGTATGTAATTTATTTCAGAAACCCTTTTTGTTATATTCCATGGAATGCTCTTAACAAACATCCCAAAAGCAATGAATATATTAAATGCTTTGACAATAAATACATAAAATAATTTCGGAATATTAATTAATATAATAACGGAAGCCGTAGCGCTGTAAAAAGCACGACCAATCATTTTTAGCCGGTCTGGCTAAAATAACTGGATGGCTTACCTGCCTGTCAGTCTTCCATCTGTGCACAAACTTATCTCGTGCCCTTATTGGTCATGTGCGTGTTTGTGTGTGTTGGAGGAGGGGCTCTGTAAGGAAGTCTGAAGGAAGAGGCAGATTTTTTCCGGTTGTGTACTTTCAAATTCTAGCGCACTCGAGCTGGTTTCTCCAAAATTACATACCCCACCTTTAATGTGTTGCTTAAAATAATACTTCTGCATACAGTATGTGACACTGTAAGTGTTGCACGGCCAGATACGGCTCAAGAAGCTGACTCAGATAAGGAAATATATGATAAATTATGATATGATGTGATATGAATGATAATGGGACACATCGACGTCTGCACTCACAGTGTCGCAAACTGTACGTAATGTTACTTTGATCCGGTTACTTATGTTGTGGCAGATATTTAAGTAAGCTTTCTTAACGCTAATGTTATATTAGTCAGATTGCTCTGAAGATGGGAGGTGATATTCTATAAATGTTCACGCTCACACAGTCAGTTGATTTTTGCCGGCCGTCTTTCCTGCAACGGCAGTTTTTCTGTATTTCCTTTCTCCTGTAATATAACTTGATCGCTTTAAACTCTGCTCTGATTGGTCAGCAGGCGGTGCTTTCACTGAGTTGACTCTTATCCTGGAACCTAACCTGCTCCGGAACCGGCTAGCCGCTCAGCATAAGTTACCATGGAGATCTAGCCCGCTAAGAAGTGAACCAGCGTTGTAAGACCGGAAACCCAGAGTTTTCCCTGAAGTTAGCTCGCTAAGCGAAAATCCGGCTTCGTAGTACAGGCCTCAGGCTAGCCGTTCAGCATAAGTTACCATGGAGATCTAGCCCGCTAAGAAGTTAACCAGTGTCGTAGGACCGGAAACCCCGAGTTTTCCCTGAAGTTAGCTCGCTAAGCGAAAATCCGGCTTCGTAGTACAGGCCTCAGGTTAGCCGTTCCTCATAAGTTACCATGGAGATCTAGCCCAAGCCCCCAGGAAGTGCGCCTGGCTCTGATGAAAATATTCATTGTGTCCAAATGGCGGTAGGCCTATTACAATTTCCATATC